AAGTCTGAACCCTAGGCCTTAAAAATCGTAAACCCTAAACCCTAGGCCTCAAAACCCTAAACCCTAAACCCTAATGGGTGCTGCGTGTGCTGCAGTCCGCCACCTTTTCGAGGCCCCCGGCGGCCCCCCAGTGCAGCTGCTCTACCGCCCAGGCCATTACGACCTTCTGTACCTCTAGCTAGCCAGCTAGGTGCCTAGCAAGCTAGCTGGCTAGCTAGCTGGCTAGCTAGCTAGCTAGCTAGCTAGCTAGCTAGCCAGCTAGGTTGCTGCTGCAGCAGCGACTAGCTGCCCACAGGCTACCCCTGTCGCGGCCAGCGAAGGCAGCGGTCTGGGGAGCTAGCTGAAGTGGCTGCAAACACCTAGGTGGGCTAGTTAGTTAGTTAGCTGGCTAGCTAGCTAGCTAGCTAGCTAGCTAGCTAGCGGTGCGCCACCGAGGCAGCCGTTTTGTCTAAGGCCGGCATCCAAGCGCTAGCTGTCGGCTGCAGTTTCCTTTCCACTTTTTGTCCAACGGCTTTCTTATTTCTCGATCCTTCTTTACAGGTAGCTAGCTAGCTAGCTAGCTAGGTAACTAGCTAGCTAGTTAGCTAGCTAGCTAGCCAGGAAGCCAGCTGGCTAGCTAGGAAGATAGGCGTCTCTCTCTGTAGTTGGCTAGGTGGCTCGCGACCTAGGTAGCTAGCCGTCCATCTAGCTAGCCAGCCAGCTGGCCAGAGAGCCAGCTAGCTAGCTGGCTAGCTATGCAGCTAGCTGGCTGGCTAGCTATCCAGCTAGGTATTTAGTCAGATTGCTAGGCCGCTAGCTAGCTAGCATCCAGATGCCGCCCACGCGTGACTTGGCTGTTCTACCTACTAAACAGCTAGCTAGCTAGCTAGCTAGCTAGCTATGCACTAGGTAGAACAGCCAAGTCAGCTAGCTAGCTAGCTGCCTATGCACCAGGTAGAACACCAAAGCTAGCTAGCTAGCTAGCTAGCTAGCTATGTACTAGGCAGAACAGCCAAGCCAGCTTGCTAGCTAGATAGCTAGCTAGCTAGCTAGCTAGCCAGTTAGCTGTCAAGCTACCAGCGCGCCAGTGGGAGGGTTGAAGTCTATAGGTGAGGGACTGGCATGCAGGGTTTGCAACGGCAAGTTTAGGGTTTAGGGTTTAGGGTTTAGGGTTTGGGTCAGAAGAGTCTTTGGGGGTTTGAGACCTGCTGCGCGTCGCGTTTCGCC